CGAGACTGTGGGATCCCAGTCACATGGCCTGGAGCCCAGCACAGGAAAATATTTCTTATCCCCAGGTCCCCAACAATAGCAGACACTAAGTGATTCCATGTGACAGCACCTGTGTCATAGCATGTTCTGCATACGCCATCAGTCGTCCCATTTTTCGGAAGCAGAAGTGAGGCATAGAGAGGCAAGGGCAGTGGCCCTAAGGAGCCCTTGCAGGGCCTTGGCAGCGGCTCCTGGGGCCCTAAAGCTCTCCTTCTGCTTCCTGGAAGCAGGAGTGCCCAGGCGTTGGGACCTACTCTGTGCCGAGGCTGAGGTCTGGGGAGAACAGGACGTGCACCCAGCTCCCATCCTGGGGGTGCGGCAAGGACAGCAAATGAGCCAGAAGTTGGCCCCTGTGTTGAGAGCCGGGGAGGGGGGCATAGAAGAGGGGACAGGGCCTCAGCAGAGGCAGAGCCAGGGAAAGGGTGTCCCAGGAGGTGACTTTTATTTGTAACACCCATGTGGCTGCTTTGGAGAGGAAATGATGAGGCTGGAGACTGAAATAGAGACTCCTGTGTGCACCAGCTAAGGAGCTGGGGACCCCAGCATGACCAGAAACTGCAGTTACAGGGCTGGTGAGATGGCTCAGTGGTCTAAAGCACCTACTTAGAACAAGCTTAGCAAAGCACAGGGACTGCGGTTCAATCCCCAGCACCACATGCCAGCCAGCCCCGCCCCCTGGTGGGCTGAGCTCACCACACACACACACGCGCGCGCACACACACACACACACACACACACACAAATAAATAAAAATAAAAAAAAGAAAGAAAGAAAGAAAGAAAGAAAGAAAGAAAGAAAGAAAGAAAGAAAAAAGAAACTGCAGTTACAGACTGGCTGCTTGGCTTCTCCCTGGATCATCCTTTTCTCCTGGACTAGGATCCCCCACCTCACCTAACTCCATGCTCAACCTCCAGAACCTCCAAGGAGCAGGGCTTTAGTATTCTAATCCAGGTTGAGTTTACAGCAGAACCTAGGTCAGATAATAGCAATCAAGAAGTTCTTGGGTCAGCCAAATAGCCCAGCGGATTAAAGCGCCTGCTTAGGCTGATGCAGCGGCCAGGATTCGATCCCTGGCCTGTCATTTTGCCCCCCAGCCCCCGGGCATGCTGAGACAGCGATTGAGACTTGGAGTGGTGGCATTCACCTGTAATCCCAGCTCTTGGGAGGCTGAACACAGGCAGATCACTATAAGTCCAATCTACATAGTGAAACCCTGTAGACCCTATACTAAAATACAAAAAAAAAAAAAAGATCATGGGGCTCCACCTACCCTGGACATTTTCTAATACACTCCTGGACAGCAGTGGGAACTCTAGGCTCACAGCAGGCTGCCTGCATTACTTTTCTGAAACATTGACTTGGGTATTTTCTTTTTTGTTTATTTTTTGAGACAGGGTCTCATTGTGTAGCTAGGTTGGACAGACTCACTATGTACCCAGACTGGCCATAGCTCACAGTGATCTTTCTGCCTCAGCCTCTTGAGTGCTTGGATTACAGACGTGTACTACTATCCCAGGTTTGGGACTGACTTTAGGTAACTCATTTCCCACTTCTGAGCTCAGTTTCCCTGGGTAGAGCAGTGTGGGGCCTTCTCAGTGTTTCCTGCCTAGCTATCTGCAGCCACTGTGGATGTCTTCATGTGTAAAGATGCTCTTGGGAGTGAGATTTCAATGTTGAGTCTGCATCCTGTACCAAGGGGAGAACAGGATGGGAGGCTTGGCTCCTGCCTGTCACGCTCAGGATCCCCATGAATCTCCTGGGCTGAAAACCTGCATGCGTTCTGGCCTGCAAAAGTCATTTCTGTCTCTTCTGCCAATTTCAGGGCAAAGGGGCTCTGGGTGTAAGTCCCAGTGTTGGATATCTCTCAGACCAAGCTTTCTCTTAGGGTAAGCC